GCAGAACACCGGAGAGAAGCTGATGAAGCCGATCTCTGCTTCATCAGCTTCTTGGGGGTCCTTAGGTGACATCAGAGGTCTTGGAGACCCCTGATGTCTCCATAAAGAGGACCTGTTTGGTGAATTGGCTATTACATAGGGGATTCCTTTGTCCCCTATGTTATGGCAATAAAGTTAAGTCTAAAAAAAAAAGTTTAAAAAAGAATTACAGCATTAAAAAAAATAAAGAAGCTAAAAAAAATATTCACACATAATAATTAAACAAAATAACACAAAAAAATGTTTTAAAGTCCCCGCCCCCCCACATACACACGCAAACATGCGTCGGGTGCGCCTATGTACAAAAAGGACGATTGCGCCCATTATGCAGCACATGTTACATATCGCCGCGAACGTCGCAGTGAGAACAATAATTCTAGGGCCATCAATCACTGATGACACTAAACTGATGAGCGGTAAATACGTTGGCCAATTTTGGTTGCGGGAAGTTTTCTGCGATTTCGCGGGCGCGCGCAATTTTAAAGGTTGACATGTTTAGTGTCTATTTACCCGATGTGACCCCATCTTTTATATTATACCAAAAAATTGGGCTGAAAGTAAATGTTTCATAACATTTTATAGGGAAACATGTTTTTTTTTCAAAATTTAGGGTACTTTTTTTGTTATATAGTAAAAAATAAAAACCCCAGTGGTGATTAAATACCACTAAAAGAAAGCTCTATCTGTCCCCAAAAAATGGTATGAAATTCATTTCAGTGCAGTGTTGCATGACGGAATAAACATCAGTCAAATTACCGCAGCGCTGAATACTGAAAAATGGCCTGGCCAGGAAGGGGGTGAAACACCATGGCCTTTAAGTGGTTAATGGTTGTTATACAAGTTAGATTTATTAAGGCTTAAAGGGAGGTTATGTGTTGGGTCAAGATTAGGGGTCAGGGCACATAAGTGAATACACCGTAAAAGGACTGGATCAGGATCCTTTGATTTGTATTATGCCATCATCAGTGCAAGATAGTGTGCATTTCTACTAAGAAAGCTTAAAAGCTTAATACCTCACCGCGCTGACCAATGAGAAGAGCTTTCTGCTCAGATGACTGTGCTGACCAAAGAGTGCTCGCCATTTCCGAGTGAAATTCAAAATTCAGAGTGCAGGGTTGTGCTACATGGCATTATTGGGTGCGGATAGTACACCCGCACTGGCGGAGGGGAAGGAGTGTTCGGCCAAAGGTAAATATAGCAAGAGGGGGCCAGATTGGAGGAGGCAATTTCCCAAATTCACCTGGGAAAGTGAAATTAACAAAAACGATTTTTCCCCCGAAAAAGGGGATCCCACCACTGTTTCAAAATGTTTGACCTCATGGTCAAAAATGTTGAAACAGTGGTGGGATCCCCTTTTTCGGGAAAAAATCGTTTTTGTTAACAAATTAATAGGGACCCTCCATTATAAACAAATCAAAGCTTTATTGATAATTTATATATATTTCAAACCTTCCCACCCCGCAGTATATATTACATATGGAAAGTGAAATTACCCTTTAATGCTTACAGTATCACCACAAATAGAGCCCATGTACCTAAATCATATTCAGTGAATGGACTGAAAACATTTTAAGTATAATTTCTAAGCAGAATAGTTTTTTTCTAGGTTGTCTTCATAAATATTGTACAAAGCATAGAGATGATCTATAAACATGTATTACCATACTATACATCTGTAGCAAAACATTCATTTGAGTTTAATTGTGTTTTTGCATTGTTTAACAGTACATTTAGAATGAAACACTATAACTTACCAAAGTAGTCTCCAGCTTGGGGCCACCATCATCAGCAACTACTGTCAGGGAATAAAAATCTCCTTTCTCTCGATCTACCAAACCTTTCACTGTTATTGTACCCTGCAATGACATAATGATTAAACATATGAGATGGATATCTTGGTGTGGATCTTGTTTGTATTACTGGATTTTTATAAGAGTTAGCTATCATATGTAATAGCAACCTACACCTGTAAAGTTCTCAATTGGTTTTACAGGTGGTGAGTAGAGGCAGAGCCAGCTGTACCCGCCCCCTCCCCCGTCCGCTCCGCCAGTCAGCGCTGGCGGATCGTAGCGGGGAGGGGGGGATCCAGCCCCTCCCCTGTCGCGGCAGAGAGCTGTGACAGGATCGAGAGGTGAGCGAACGCCGGTATGTGTTCGCTCACTTCCCGATCTACTGAGCTGACCTGTGACAGTCTCATTGTCACAGGTCGGCTAGAACTATGAGGTGAGTGAAAAGCACTCACCTCATAGTTCTCCTTTAAGCATGCTTCTTGTCAGCACATGAGCTGTTTGGCAACTCACTATTGCAAGTCACTCCTCATTGGCTTACCTGTGTGTGTGTGTGTGTGTGTGTGTGTGTGTGTGTGTGTGTGTGTGTGTGCGTGTGTGTGTGTGTGTGTGTATAGGTCCCGGAGTCGTCTAATTCTTAAGTGTACCTGTACCCCTGTACTTTACGGTCTCTCAGGAAATCTTATACATACTCCAGGTGAGGCCGAACCAGTGATGTGTAAAGTGGCAAAATTATAGACTTGTCCCTGCAAAACATTCCCTTCTTGATGCAGGACAGGATTCTACTAGCTTTTATGCTATACAATTATGCTATAGGGACTTAAACCTAAAGAATGATGTTCAGTTTAACCTCACTGATACAGAGCAATTTAATAAAGGGCCAAAAATAGAATCCGTCCTAATCTTACTAAATTTGTTGTCAGTGGACAGGAAAAGGCAATTGCACAAATCAATGTATCACTAGCTGGTAAAGTAAGGTGCACATGGAAGGATTTTACACAGTACGAATAAATGTTTTTATTAGCGTGTACACATATTTACACAAGGGTGGCAATGTATCTCCAATGATCTGAGCGGCACCATCTGCAGCCATTTCATCACCCTTCCGCGTTGTTGTGTTCCTCAAACCATTCTTGAACCATTTTTACAGTGTGGCAAGGAGCACTATCCTGCTGAAAGAGGCCACTGCCATCAGAGAATACGGTTTCCATGAAGGGTGTACTTAGTCAGTAACAATGTTTAAGTAGGTAGTACATGTCAAAGTAACACACACACACCCGGCTATCCACATGACGTAAAAAAAAGTGATTCATCAGACCAGGCCACCTTCCTCCATTGCTCAGTGGTCCAGTTCTGATGCTCAAATACTAGGGATGCACAGATACTTTTTGAGTACCAGTGCAGATACTTGGCATTTTCATGAGAACTACCAGGGTTGCAGCGGTTGCAGCTGGGACCTGGCTCTGGCACTCCACCACTGTACTGAAATCATTAGTCTGTATTGTTTTAGAAAAACTGTCACATGACAATAAACAAAAATGTATCAGTACTCGTACTTGGAAGTACTCGGCAAGTACCAGTACTCGCAAAATTGGTATCTGTGCATGCCTTTATTTATATTTATAAAAACAAAATCATACATTAAAACAGAGATGTACAAATCCCAGGAGCTCCGTGTGCTCCTTACAAATGACAGCTGCCTCCTAATTTTTGAATTTTTCTCTAGTTTAGTCTTGGAGCTCAAAAGTATCGGTACATGTACTCGTACTTGTACCAAGTACTGTACTTGGTATCTGTGCAACCCTATCAAATACTAGACATGTGCACTGCCAAAAAATTAGTTTCGTTTCGTTTTAAATTCGGATTTGTGTTATTTCGTTTTTCGGGATTCGGGTGTGAAAGTCAATTCGGATTCGGAATTCGGATTCGGACGAAATTCGGTAGCGTTCGCACGAACGTTCGTTTCGTTTTCTGTTCTTATTCGTTTCTTATTTGTTTCGTTCGTTTGCAGCAAAAGTGACATTTGAGGGGGGAAAAATATTTTTCTCCTTCTCTAATGTCACTTTGCTCCAACGAACGAAACGAATAAGAAACGAATACGAACAGAAAACGAAACGAACGTTCGTGCGAACGCTACCGAATTTCGGAAATGGAAATTCGGATTCGTTTGCATTCGTTATGTCTGTAATTCGGAATTCGGATACATCCGAATGTCCGAATTTACGAAAATTCGTCCGAATTTCGATTCGGAACGAAACGAATCGCACATGTCTATCAAATACCCATTGCTGGCACTTTTGGGACTGGGCACAGGTCGGCATGGGCACCCTGACCGTCTGCAGCCCTATACGCAAGGAACTTCGTTTCACTGTGTGTTCAGACATCTTTCTATCTGAACCAGCATTAACTTTTTCAGCAATATGAGCTACAGTAGCTCTCCTATTGGTTCGGACTACACAGGCCAGCCTTCGCTCTCCACATGCATCAATAAGCGGTGACCTCCCATGACCCTGTAGTTGGTTCACCATTTTTTCCTTCCTAGTACCTTATTCGATAGGGCCTGACCACTGCAGACTGGGAATATCCCACAAGAGCTGCAGTTGTGGAGTTGCTTTGACCAGTGTTAATTTTGAGCGCAAATTTCAATTTAGTTTAAGCCATAGTCTTTTGACTAAAATGCCATTTAGTTTTAGTCATATTTTAGTAATCTGAATTGTTTTGTTTTAGTCTACTTTTAGTCGACTAAATATCATAAGATTTTAGTCAACTAAATCTACAATAGATTTAGTCGACTAAAATCGAGTGGGTTTAGTTAAAGAGGAATTTAAGAATTTCTCAAGAATTTCCAATTTTAGGATATACTCCTGGAGTAAACATCTGCTAACCTGTTATTACTTATGTTATTATGGTTTGAACATGCAATACAAACACAGATTTAACTGTTGTGATATACAGTATAACATGTCTTTATCTTAAAATTAGATTAAAACAAGTCTTATAATCAATGCATATCTAATTACTGGTCCTTTGTTGAAAATACTCTATATTATTGTTTGTTTATAACAACTTGCATATGACATCCTTCATTCTTTCAAGCAGAAGTGCAACTCTAAAATATTAAAACTAAAAACGATATTGGCTGTAATGCCATTGCACATATTACATATTAGCTGTCTATTCTCCCTAACATTTTAGTCTAGTTTTAGTTAGTCAATATATTTCCGTTATAGTTTTTGTAATTATAACTTAGTGTTAGTCTAGTTTTAGTTACAGAAAAAATGTTGTTGACAAAAACTATGACGAAAAGTATTAGTCGCCGAAATTAACAATGGCTTTGAGCCATCAAAATTTGGCTTTGTCAAAGTCACTCAAATCCTTATGCTTGCCCATTTTATGCAAATCATTACACTGCTTCAAACACATCAAAATGAGGGACAAAATGTTCACCTGCTGCCTAATATATCCCACCCACTTCCAGGTGCTATTGTAATGAGATAAACAATGTAATTCACTTTACCTCTCAGTGGTCATAATGTTATTGCTGATCGGTGTATAACACATAGCAAAGTCTAGAGAAGAACGTCTCTTCCTTTGATCATGGCAGAATAAATAATGATCAACTGAGCTTGTCCAGCACTTCTGTAAAAACCCTCCACATGATTTAGACATGACAGAAAAAGGAAGCACCTGCTTTCATTATATTTCTTTTTTAGCTTCATTTAGATGTCTACATCATTCAGACACAAGTCAGAATGGAAATGAATACAAAGGACACTGCTTCCCTACCCTGGCTTTTGTTTTCATCCTGGCATCACTTGAGAAGTAAACAGGGCAATCCAAATGAATAACATGGTGTTCTGGAAACAACCTATATGGAGCCTGGGAAATTACTAAGGATTCCCAACTCCACCCAAACATCCCAATAATTTTACTATTCAATTGAGTTCTATTACTATTATCATTCTGATTACTCAGCGTTAAGCTATAGACAAAAAAAAGAAAACAAAAAGACAAAAAAAAGAAAACAAAAAGACAAAAAAAAAAACCCCAGCTTTTTTTAAGTTCTCGATATAGAGGTAAAAGGCTAGAGCTTCTGTAAAGTTTTTACTGCCGTTTGTGTCCCCAACAGGGAGATTCACACTGAATGTGTGTTCTGGTGACCAGCCACCAGGACTGAAAGTGAGGCAAAATCCAACATTTTTAGTTACCACCCGAACAGCTATGGAAGGGAAATCATCCTTTAGGGATGATTGCTCTGGAAACAACTTTCATTTTGTAAATTAATATTTTCTATTACATTTTTACTTCTTTATTTTAAGTAGCCATTTAATACAGACACTATTCATGTTCAATATTTCATATCTACAAAAAAAGTATATAAAATGTTGTTTTTAAGTCCTGTACATAAAGACAAATATTGTTTTTAAAGCACTAAAACGCCCCCCTCCCCCCCATGCCAAAACACAGCAGTTTTATAAAAATGTTAGTTAATATAATTACCTTACCCCAGCTTCCATTCACAGCACCTAGATGTTGGTGACAACCCCATTCTACTGACAATATTCTGGGAAATAATGAGTATTCCAAATCTTGCGAGATGATGTTCCTGCCTTAGGGAATGCTGAGTAGCACAAATCTCATGAGAACATGAGCCTGCACTATACTAAAGCATCCTCTCACAAGTTTTGGGCTACTCAACATTCCCTGGGATGCTGATACAATTTCCTGCAGTATGGAAGCCACGGGTAAGGTAATTATATTTACTTTTTTCTCCAACGCTTTTTTAAACTAAAATTGCAATGTTTTAGCATGGGGTGGGGGAAGTGAATACTTTGTAATGCGCTTTGAGTTCTGTACATAATAAAACAAATACATATAACTTGTATTAAACACTGCCAGCAGTGTATTTGCTTATTTCTCACGTATTTGTTGTTTATACATGTTTCAGTAACTTGTAGCAAAACACAATAAAACTTCAGCTCTTATCAATCTACTGTATTATGAGAAACACACCATACACATGAAAAAAGTAAAAACTTAAACTTGTCTGTTTTGTAAAGGAAACAAAGTGTTCTTAGAATATGTAGTAAGCTATTTTTTTTTGTTTCGATAAAACAGTAATATGTTTTTTTGTTTCCATTGGCGAAAGTTATCTTCACTTTCTGACCTGGTGCAGGAATTATTGGGAACCCCACCATTAATAGTTGTCAGGCAGAAAAAATTTGTCAGCTGGAATTCCACCTTAAAGGAGAACTATGGGGTTAGGGCTTTTCCCCATAGTTCTCTGAAGGGTAACGAGAGGACACAAACTCAGTATACTGTGAGCTGCAGCTCGCGGTATACTGAGACGCTGCAGATGAAACGGATCCCAACAATTATGTCTGGATCCGCCCGGCTCGTGAGTGACAGCTGGCTCTGCCTATGTAGAGGCAGAGCCAGCTGTACCCGCCCCCTCCTCCGTCCGTTCCGCCAGTCATCGCTGGAGGATCGGACAGGGGAGGGGAGAATCCAGTCACTCCCCTGTCACGGCCCTCTGCAGTGACAGGATCTACTGAGCAGACCTGTGACAGTTTCATTGTCACAGGTCGGATCAGATTATGAGGCTGACTGAAAAGCACTCACCTCATAATTCTCCTTTAATGTATATATACATGTGTTGTTAAAATAAATTTCTTAGGCAAAATAGCCTGTAAACATGAAGATTCTGTCATTAACACTGGTCTGTGTACTTGCAGGGTGACTAGGGTAGAGGGAGCAGAAATGTATGAAACAGCTTAAAAATGTGCACAGGTGTGCTTTGTGTTTCTTCGTATAGAACTTTTTTATGACTGGGAACTGTGAGCTCATGTATCCATGGTAACAACAAAATCTGTAATGCAAATAATTGGACACTAAATAATAATAAAGTATGCCTACCTAAATGCACATAAAATCTACATTTTCAAAAACCCTAAAATCAATCCCCCCCACGCACACATACACACATTGCAGATCTAGCTATTATTCTAATGTGTATACTTACTGTGATTTTATCAATCTTGAAAAGGGCCAGAGCCTGGGCATTTGTGTTCTGGTCAAAGCGGTATGTTAGCTGGTTCAAGTTATCAATAGACCTCGCTTGTACCCTAAGGACTTCTGTGCCGGTAGCAATGTTTTCCAATATTACAGCTTCATAGGTGGTGCTGGAGAACTGAACAACTTCATCTGGTTCGTTCATCAGTGTGATATACACAGAGCAGAAACCGCGGTTGTATGGGGGAGCCTGGTCTGTGGCTGACACATTCATAATGTAGCTGATTTTGGTCTCATAATCCAGGTAATCGATTGTGGTTAGAAGACCAGTGCTTCCATCCATCTCAAACTTTCCATCTGAGCCTGACAGCAGACTGTAGACCACCACCCCACCATCACCTGCAAGATGATATAAAGCAATTTTTTTGTGTGACTCTTATTAGTTTCATAATGTTTAATTTACAATACATGATACACTTTAATTTTTCTGGTGTCGTTACTAAAAGAATTGAAAATGGTTGATTTAGGTTCCTGCAATAGGCACACTTCACTGTTTTTACTAAATAAGCCCATAGGCAAGATACAAGTCTTTCTCCACCTTACTCAGTCTATATATGCTTACATCCAAGGCAGTTACCTCTACAATGTATATACACAATGGTGTGAAAGAAACTTGCCCAGAGCACAGAGCTTAAAACCACTATGCTGTATATTAAAACAACAACTTAATGCCTGCACAGAGCCTTGAAGCTCCCAACTGTGTCTACTAGAGAATATTAAAATGTTTACCTGTTCCGTGTGAATTTTGTAGTAACAAGGTAATGTATCTATGTATTCATTCTGCAGCAAACAGAGGAAGCTTTTATACATATTAGAACTGATTTTTTTTTTACCCATACAAGTCAATGGAGTTGCAAAGGAAGCTTGAAGCAGGGTGATGCAGCTCAGGAGGAGGTCAAACGTGGATAGAAAGAGGTCAACCGCAGCGCAGACGCACCAGTTACTAAACTAAGAATGATCTCAGGTGCATCTTAAAGCTGAACTCTGGGTAACTGATAAAAGTACCCTTGCAGTGTGGCTCCCCCTGTACTGCAAGAGTTAAATGCTTTTTGCCTAGTGTACCAGGAAAAAAGGCGTTTTACTTACCTTAGCTCTTGCTGCTGCAGGCACTTCCTTCCATGCAAAAGGTCTCTTTTCTTTGGCGCTCTGACCGACAGTCACGGCTATGGTGTCAACACCTACAGTGCAGGACAAACAGTGCTGCATTGTGGAGATGCAATGTGCCCACCCACAACCCAGGGTATTGAAGTTAAGTTAGTGCTGGCTGCCGTGAGAATCAGAGTCATTTTTCCTAGTGCTCTAAATATAAACCGGCATTTAATGCTTGTAGTGTGGGGGGAGTCCCATTGCAAGGGTATTTTTTCAGTTCCCTGGAGTTCTGCTTTAACCTGCTGACAAATGCAAGAGAAATGAACCAGAGAGCAAGCTACATTTGCCCAGCAACACAAGCCCAAAGTCCGTTGACACATACCCGTAGATTATACCCATGTCAACGAGCAAAATGTGAACATTCTAGTGGAGCCAAATGGTTTTTACATAGGAAGAACAATTGAGGCACCGATTATTCTTTACAAAATGCACCGTTTTAATGCCCTGCTCTACAGTATTTCCACAAAGTTGGAGTTACATTTTAAATTTGCATTTGCTGTAGAGGAAAATTCATGAATCCAGTAGAAACTCTGTGTTATGCGCTCCATTACCTGTGTCTTTGTCAGTAGCTCTGACCACTGTAACTGAAGTCCCAATCCCAACAGTTTCACGTAGGCCCAATCGGCTATACTGCTGTTGTGTGAAAGCTGGAGCTTCATCATTAACATCGTCAACATACACAATCACCTGATAAGTACAAAACATAAAATTAATTATTCTATTGTTAACAATAGGTTACTGAACTGTGCTAACAAAAATACATTATAAGGTAACCCGTGGACATACTGTAAGCTGATTTGGCAATTAATGTCACATTGGGAAACAATCTAATGTCTCCACACATACTCCCTGGCCAACTTATCCCAGGTGCAAAAAAACTGGTCATCCAAAATACATTTTCTTGAACGACGGCTAACGTTACCAGGAAAAGGTTACCACTGCCCAACTCCCTCTCCTCTTCTCCTCACATCAGGTCATATAACAGATTTGTAGACCTTTAAGGTGCCCATACACTGTACAATTCTCGTACGAGAATCGCGGGAAATCCCGCGATCGTACGAGAATCGTACAGTGCATGGAAGGCGTGCGACCGTTTCTACTGTACGGTCGCACGTCTTCCATCGAACAAGCAGGCTAGAAAACCCGCCGGGAATCGTACGATTCTCGGCGAGTGAGTGGCCTGCTCGTTCGACAACTGACGAACGGGCCGGTGTGCGCATGCGCACACTGCCCGTTTGCCATCCTCGCAAGCCCGCCCCTCATTGCAGTCATCGCAAGTACGATCTGCCTGTCCAAGATGGGCAGATCGTACGTTTTTTTAAGTACTTTACAACCATCGCAAGACTAAGGTCTTGCGAAGGTTGTAAAGTGTATGGCCACCTTTAGAAAGACAGTCTGCAGACAGTCAGGGAACAAACAATGTATGACCATGTAATCTCCTTGAGAGCTGGAGTTTTCTCAAGTAACTCCACATTGCAAGAAGAGAAAAGAGGTAAGTGAACAGCAATGGAGTGCAAAATGTGCAGGTTTAAGTGACCACTGTGAACACAAATGATGACATGGAGTGACCACTGCTTGTCACAGAGTTAGGAATTGGGCATGTCCCAATAGATAGGTACAGGTGATAGTCCATATCCATAAATTTACACCATGTTTACTTTTAAGTTCTTGCCAGGATATTTACCTGGCTCTTAGAATTAAGAAAATGTTTTCAGGCCTGTGTACATGTATATCACTTATCTTACCCTCACAGAACTTCTCATAGGGCCTTGATCACTGTTATATGCCTCCATTACTAACACATGAGAGGAGCTGGTCTCTCTGTCCAGAGCCTTGGTGCCTCGCACAAGTAGTCCTGTGCTAACATCAATTCGAAAATTATTCTTGTCATTGCCTACAAAAGAAAAAAAAAAAAAAGAATACATGACACATGGGGTCAAGCATTATAGGATTACCCATCCTACAACCCAGAGTATTAGGTTACGCACACTTAGTATGTTTTTATATATATAAGCGCCACATAGCAAGGCGTCTAGTAGTTGTTCAGAGGCTTACAACCAACAGCAAATGAGCATCTCCATACATGATTGCCTGCAATGGTTAGCTGTGTCTACAGTTCACACTGCGATGCTTCTGAAGTTGTGTGCCAGCATACTACAACCTGTATACATACTGCCAATGTAGTTCTGACTGACAGAACATAGTATAAAATCACTAGAAAAACACAGATAATTGTGTATTAGTAATATCTGCCTACTTTAAGAACATCTACTAAAAAAAATAATAAAATAGTCTTTATTTATCCATTCCAAATTCAGAAATTACAAGTAATTTTTTACTTCAGTTACTGCAATCCCTTTATACTATGCAATTAACTTAATGCTGAGGTGGCACATGCTAGCTGAAAGTAAAAACATGTTTGCAATGGGAGGACTTCATCTGTAAGCCTCTCAGAGGAAGGGGCTGGTAATTGGGTAGGCTTACCCAAGAGGAAGACGGTATGGGGGGGAGTGGAACAGACAAGAAAATAAAAGTGTAGCACTATTGGATTGTGTACATCATAAGATTTTGTGGTTTTATTGCATACATTGGGTGCTTAAGTATATAGCATTTGTGGCCACTTTGTGCAATTCATCTGTGTAGAAACATTGCACTGACTAATTCACAGGAGCGATAACCTCTCATTATCAATGTAAACATCCCAACCATACTATATATCCAGGGATATTTTAATCTTTGTTACCATAAAGTTATACAATTCTGCTTCTAGTATCACTTGCTTCTCTCTGGTAAGAGCTATCAGGTTGTATGAGGTCTCTGTTTAGGAAAGCTAAAAATAGGGGAATATGTGGAGGAGGTAAGATACAGATCCATAAGATAAAGTATAGCTTTCTGAGGCATGGAGTATTTTTTGAAAAATACCACTTTCACACCTATATGTTATTTATGTTTGTGAAGTGAAGATTGTATAAGGAAATTCGCTTAATTTAAATAAGGTTTGCATATAACTACTTAGTGATTTGACCATAGGGGCCCATTGACACCAAGTCAATATGGTAAAATTAGCATTTTAACATAATGCATTGCTCTCAATGCATCACAATTCATTTTGAATGAATGTACACAATGCTTTGCAACACACTTGCATTGCAGCGCACCACAACACCAAGATGTAAGCTCTAGTTCTAGTGTGCTGTGCAAAAAAAAATGCTGCAAGTGAGGTTTGAGTGTGTTGTGGAGCTTTGGCAGCCCATTCATGTACCACATGTTAAATGTGCAGGTAATATTCCAACACATGGCACTAATGTTGTTAATTTTTAAAACACTACCAGTAAAACAGAACTCACACTTAGGCAGTTTATTTAGCTTTTTAGTTGCAGCTGTCACCAAACAACAGGAAGTGCCTCAACGAGAGCCTTTATGGCAGGGTCACCAGCTATTAGTTTAATAAAAGCTACAGATTTAAAATGATTGAAAATGCCTTCTGAAATTACATTAAGGCTAAAATCCAGGCACAATAATCCCCCTGTAAATTGTATACTGCCTTTTAAAAAACCCCACCTGCCATTTTTAGTATTGTCACCTTTGGGTATATTTGCAGGTGGAAGTCCGGTTCTCTCTCTCCTCACCGTTCGGCCATCTTGAAGTGACAGCATTCCCCCCCCCCCGGGCCTC